CTCCCCTCCCTGCCCGAAACTTTGTGCTTGTCTGGAGTAACGCTGCTTCCATAGGAAAAGGGACCAAACGGAGAGTGAGAGTCGCGCTGGAGCTGGCAGCGTGCGCCCCGCGGAGGCTTCCGCAGCCTTCAGATGCTGGTGTTTAAGGGGAAAGGCAGAGTCACCTTGTTCCTGTCCTTCCTGAGGAGCGGAGCGTGCCCCTGTAGGGGATACGCTTTGGAATGAATCGCTGCTCCTTGTCGCCGCCTCCGAGGGGGGGACCCGCATCGAGCTGCGAGGGGCTTTGGCACGAGGGAATGACCGAGTTGGGTGTAACTAACCCCAAAACTCCCTGCGGTGATGATGTGGAGCCAGGTTTAGGGTTTGGAATCAAATGGGTTTGTAGGTTTGAATGTGCACAGTTAAATGACAAGAGTTTAGGAGCAGTTCTATCGTATGCAAAGGGCCCCTCAGGCGCTATCAGAAGCTCTAAAAGTGTTTTTCTCCATGAATTTTGAGGTTAGATGGTGGGGTTTGGAGCATTTGGGCTCCCAGGCCATGGCAGTGTTATCAGAAGCTATACAAGTGTCTTTCTCCGTGGATTTGGGGGTTAGATGGTGGCTTTTGGAGCATCTGCAGCATCCCCAGAGGAAGGGAAACTTGCATTTTGTACCTAGGTGGGTGTTGGTGATTTTTGGAGTCTAAATTTAAACCCAGCATCAAACTGATCGATCTTCAGCAGTCCCAAGTCGTGGTTTAGATGAAGCACGTGGGGGTTTTGATGCTCATCAAGCTGATGCCTGTTGCTGTCCTGTTGGAAGGTGACGGAGTTGGTGCTCGATAACTGCAGATCCAGCAACGGCGAAATCGAAGGGCTGAATGATTCATTCAAAGAACTGGAGTTCCTGAGCATGGCCAACGTGGAGCTGACATCACTGGCCAAGCTGCCCACGTTGAGTAAGCTCCGGAAGGTACGTCCCCTGTGCTCGTGGTGGTGATGGCAACAGGCTGGTGAGGGGAGGCCGTGAGCACCTCGAATGGTTTTGGGTATCTCCAGTTTGTTATGGCTGGGTTGGGCTCAGTCAAGGACTCTTGGTGCTCATCTGTGGTATCTTGGGAAGGTTGGCCATGTCCTGAGCTCCGTGAGGTGCTTGAATTGCATGGCTGGTGGCAGAACAAAGGCTCACAGTGAGTTCCATGTTCTGCTGACTTAAAATTGAGGCCTCCAAACCCAGGAGATTTATAATTCTCAAAGTAGGCTTCAAGGAACTTTCTGACAGCCAGAGAGAGCTTGTGAACGTGTGGGGACTCTTCAAAAGCCATCAGCTTGGTGATGAAAATGTTAAGTTAAAGGGAGAACGATGAAAAATGACACAGCCTGAACCTAATGGTAAGAAATGGACCATTTAATGACTCCATTTGTTCTGTGTGACAGTTGGAGCTGAGCGACAACGTCATTTCAGGAGGCCTGGAGGTCCTTGCAGAAAGGTGTCCGAATCTCACATATCTAAACCTAAGTGGCAACAAAATCAAAGATCTTGGCACTGTGGAAGCTCTTGTAAGTATGAAGTGAGAGGAGAAGTTAATAAATGTGGGGGGTTATGAGGAATAAATCCCATTCTAGTTGTTCCAGCTCAGGTGGAACAGGCGCTGTGGTGGTTTGGGTTTGGTGTTCCGGTTGGTCCTGACTCGGTTAACTCACTGCCATGGTTGTTAGAGACAGTAACCCTACAATTCCTTCTGCATTAGCAGTGGGATTATGTCCCAGACTGGAGATTTTTGAGCTTCTGGGTTTTTTTGGGAAGGAAAGCACCCAAGTTATGTCTTGCTGCTCCTCCTGTGTTCCGTAAGGTGTAGTTTGGCTCATAAGCAGCTGCCTGGTGCGTAAGGTCTGGGAGGTGACATGAATCCCCATCACTTGCTTACACTTGACTGTTCAGAAAGCAGATTCCACGGTGTAGTTCTAGATCCTCCCAAGTGCCTCTTGCTCCTTACAATGTGACTTAGTTAGTCAAAGGGTTTACAAGAGGTTTACTAGAGCGTTCAGTTTTGCCCTTGATTGCCTGAACAGGAATAGGCTGCACGAACCAAAACCAACCCCAAAGATGTGTGTTGGGATGTGCTGCTGGAGGGATGTGCTGGGTGTGCTCCAGGCAGGCCCTGGAGGCCATCTCCAAAAGCACTTCCACTGCAAACAGCCTTTTGAACTGAACTTTGTATTTAATGGGGAGCAAAATACCGAAGAGAAAAGGGCTGGGGATGGTGAACTCCATTTGGGCTGTGACTGTGCTGTCACTTGAAGCACCACGTGGTTGTCTCGAGAAGAAAGTGGGGGGAAAAGAAACCCTTTCTGTTTGTTTTCAGCAAAACCTGAAGAACTTGAAGAGCCTTGACCTGTTCAACTGTGAGATCACAAACCTTGAGGACTACAGAGACAGCATCTTTGAGCTGCTTCAGCAAATCACGTACCTGGATGGCTTTGATCAGGAAGACAACGAGGCCCCGGACTCGGAAGATGATGATGATGAGGGTAACTTCCTGTCATAAAGCGTGGCCAGAAGCAGTGTGCAGTGCTAGAGATGTCAATGTGAATGTAGCCTGGGGTGGAGCAGCTTCTTGAAGGCACTAGCACAATGCTGCACTCTTATCTTTGAAGCACAGGCTTCTAGAACTTGGTCAGTGCTAAGGCGCTGATGGAGAAGGAGAGCTCCTGTCAGAGGGTTTGGGTGCTCTTGCCGGAGCCTTCTGAGGTTAAAGAAATTGGACTAAAGATTCTGTTACATAAAATAGTCTCAAAACCACAGAATCCCAGAAGCTTGGGTTGGGAGGGAGCTTAAAGCTCCTCCAGCTCCAACCCCTGCCACGGGCAGGGACACCTTCCACTAGAGCAGGTTGCTCCAACCCCCTGTGGCCAACCTGGCCTTGAACACTGCCAGGGATGGGGCAGCCACAGCTTCTCTGGGCACCCGGTGCCAGCACCTTAGCACCCTCCCAGGGAAGAGCTTCTGCCTCAGAGCTCATCTCAATCCCCCCTCTGGCAGGTTAAAGCCATTCCCCTTGTCCAAAGCCCCTCTCCGGTTTTCCTGGAGCCCCTTTGGGCACTGGAGCTGCTCTAAGGTCTCCCCTTAAGGAGCCTTCTCCAGGCTGACCCAGCCCAGCTCTCTCAGCCTGTCTTTTGTATGAAAAATGCTCATTTTACTGGCTTCTGTAGCAGCTTCAGTCCTAGGCTCAAGTATTATCCCATTTTTCAAACATGTACATAGTGCTTTTGATCTGATCCCTCGAGTCCCAGCTGAGGCTGTTCCTCCTTTTTCCCTGTTGCTACCCAATTGCAAATGAAACCTCCACGTTTGGAAGCCCGTGTTAAAAAGAACTCCAGGAAAGCCAAAGAGTTGGTAGTTGGAATGTGAAATCCATGTGGTATGTGGAAATAAAGGGGTAGGTTATTAACTTGAAGTGTTAAATCATCTTGTCATTTGCTTAGCTGAAAGAGGGAAAGTGATTACGTGCTCCAGACAGAGGAATAAGATGAGCTGAGAGAGCAGCTCTTTGGACCTGTAGGTGTTTCAGAGTTACTAGTAAGGGCTTAAGTAAAACACATGGAGTATGTTCAGCTGGTTTTGCCTTTAAATACTTGGGGGTTTGATTCTGTCAGAAGCCTCCCTTTCACTGACCACATTTCCAGCTCTCTTCCAGGAGTTTGCATATGCAGCTGCTTCAGGCATCGGGAATCTTGCCTGCAGCTTGTGATGTAAAACCATTGGGAGCCTTTCTTGAGGGAAAAGGCTGATAAAGATTAACTTGATGAAAATCAGGCTTGTTTCCCACAATTACACCCAAATCCTTCTGGGAGAAAAAGGGTTCAACTGGTTGGAGCTGGTGCACACAACCCAGCGTGACGTGGGGTGAATGGAACTTCGCTTGCAGCATAAGTGTATCCTTCATTTCAGACGGAGATGAGGATGATGACGATGAAGGGGAGGATGAAGCTGGTCCTCCAGGAGAATATGAAGAGGAAGATGATGAAGATGATGGAGGCTCTGATCTGGGGGAAGGTGAAGAGGAGGAGGAAGTTGGTCTTTCGTACCTGATGAAAGAAGAGATTCAGGTAACCTGCTCCAAGCTGCCTGCAGGCTTCTGAGGTTACTCGCAGGTGTAGACACAGAGTATAGGAAGAAGTAGCAACAAGTTAGTAGTACTTCAACTAAAATGAAATGAAGGGAAAGTCTGTGGGGGTTTTGGTGTTAATAAATGGGGTTTGTACCTTGCACTCAGATGGAGATGTTCTTAGTGGTGGTGTGAAGAGCTATAGAAAGTGGCCCACGGGATCTTTTGAGGTCAGAAACCCCTTGTGGCCATGACTTCATTGCAGTTACTTTTGATAGGAGTTTACTCCTCACCAGCTGCATTTCACAGGGTGAAAGTCTGGTGCTAAACTCTTTTGGCTTAAAACTCTTCCTTGTAACCAGCACTGGTGGGATTGGAACTTCAGTTCTGCCTTGCTCTGAAGAGGTAACAGCCATGGTACAAGTCAGGAAGCTAAAACTAAAGAAATCTGCTTCAGAGGCAGGAGCTGAGAGGTGGGTTTTGGAAAATGAACAATACGTGACCAGGAAGAAGATCAGGAATGAATTGTTTCTGGGCATTGGTACAGGAATATGTTATGTGAAGTTTGGAGAGTTCTACCCTGGAAGGTTTTCCCTGTACTTCCAGAAATGAGGCACTGAATGAATCCAGAGGGGGTTTCATTCCTGTGTTCTAAGGGCAGACGTTGGATGGGGCTCTCTGATGCTTCCACATTTTTCCTCCTTACATTACCCTGTGTCTACAATATAGTGGCTATAAAGGTAAAAGCTCAATGTGGCTTCCAGGCTCGACTGGGGCAGGAGGGCAGAGATCCTGTGCCGCTGTTTAACCTTCTGGGGCTGCTGTTTACATTTCTTAGCTATCAGCTTTGGGGAGGAAAAACCCCAAACCCCAACAACCTGATTCACAGTAACTCAGTGAAGATAGGAACTGTTCTGCTGCCTCCTCTTTCTCCTCGAATGGCTGTGGGTTAAAAGGCTGTTTGTAATGACTCTCTGCAAGAACTTGCTCTTGAGCTGGCCTAAGGCAGTGATAAGGGGGAAAAACAAAGGAATACGGGGTGATGAGAAGCACTGGAGTCAGTTTGGTTCCTGTCCTTGTGCAGATGGCCAGCACCAAAACAGTAAAGGTGGAATGTGACCTCTGAACACAGTGGGATATCCTGGATTGCTGCTCCGCATCAGGGAGCAGAAGTTTGGATGGGGCTTGGAGCAACCTGCCCTAGTGGAAGGTGGCTGGAACTGGAGGAGTTTTAAAGGTCTCTTCCAACCCGGCCCATTCCAGGATGGGTGCAGAAGCCAAACTTGGAGCAAAAATCCTAACAATGTCTCCCAATTTTTGTGAAGGATGAAGATGATGATGATGACTACGTGGAAGAAGGAGGCGAGGAGGAGGAGGAAGGTAAGTGCTCCACTTGTGACTAAACCAATTCTTCATAGACCTGTAACTGTGCAAGGTTGGGGTGTGCGCTTCAGTGGCATCAATCCCTGTTTGCTGGGCTGGTTCTGGAGGTGTGGGGAGTGTTTTAGGACTGGTTTAAGCAAGAGCTCGAGTGAGTATTAGAAGAGCAGTGGTTTGATAATTGTGTCTGTCTCCTTGTAAAGTAAAACTAAGGAAGAAATGAGAGTTTTCTCTTGAAGCTCCAAGTGGCTTCTCCAGTAAATCCTTCTGGTGTCCTGGCAGCTCCCCAGAGTCACCTTTGCCCCAGGCTCCCATCTAACAGCTTTGCCAGTGACTTTCACTGTACTTTTGTTCTATCTCCTCTTTTCATCAGTGGTTCTAAGTTCTTCATTTCAGAAACGACTCTTTTGATGTCAGACACGTGCAGAATAGGCAAATCTTGTAAACCAGAAATGTCCATGTGGGTGGTTTGTCCTGCTTTAAGAAGGTGCAGCCTTTGAGAAGGACCTGCAGGAAGTTAAGCAGGACCAACACGTCACCCATCCTCTGTTTGAAGTTTCCCAGCCTCCTGAGCTCTGAGTAGTAAGATTAAGACTCCAGATGAGAGTCCCTGCTGTTACTGGGGAGTAAAACCTTTAAGAAAGGTTAATCTTAAAACAGACCAGCTTTTCCTTGGACTCTTCTTGCTGCAGGACTCTCCCAGAGCTTCACTTTTCTAATGGTCAGGCATTCTGTCCTGATCCGTAACAGTTCTGTGCTAATCCTGAAGCCTGGTTCCATCTCAGTGCAAGCCATAGGTGAATTCTAGTCTCTCCCCAGCTCAGTCCCCATCTCGTCTGTGCACTTGGCTCAGCAGAACCACTTTTGGGGTTGAAAAAAAGCTGAAATTTGCAAGTAATCCTTTCCTTTTCCCAAATGCAGCCTTTCAGTCTCTTTAAGACCATGAAGCAGGAGGGCAGGATGGCTGCTGAGGCAGGAAATGACTGCTCTGGATGTGACAGCATTGCATTTCATGGTTTCACCACAAGAGCGCACAGTCCACTGACCAGCTTAAGGCTGTTGCTAAGACCAAGCTCAATAGTTGTTTCTGTGAGATGCTGGGATCAGGTTGTATTTGGGCAGAGGCTGGAGCCTGGTTCACTTGGGATCACCAGAAACTGCTGGGGCTTGGGCAGGGGGTAGGCAACTGCTGCAAGCACAAGGTAGGGAGGTAGAAAACCCTCATTTTAGGTCTTTAGTATATGTTAACAGAACAATTCTATATGTATGTTTATATATAGACTTCATATGAATAATTCCTGTACAGAATCAAGGCTTAGCTTGAACTTAGCTTAAATCAGCCTGTATGATTGAGGTTGCTTAAACGGCTCTTTTTTGGGGTGCTGTCGCAGGGGTGAGCGTGTTACCTACCAGCAAACAGGGATGGGTTTCAATTCCCTCTTCAAAAAGGGCAAAGTTCCCTTTCGGAGCATAACAAGATGTGTGCATCCCTCTTTCCTAGCAGAGGGTGTGCGAGGGGAGAAGAGGAAACGAGAGCCTGAAGATGAAGGCGAGGAAGAGGAGGATTAACTTGTTCTAGACACCAGTAGGACCAGCCTCTTCGGTTCCAGAACACGCAATAGTGATTATGCAGATCTGTATGTCTCCATGTACCATAGATGTCCCTCCAGAAGATAATACGTTAACTTTTTATAGGAGAAGTGTGGTTTTACTATTCTTGCCCTTTTTATCATTCCAAATAAGATATAATAGCCTGGTAGTGAACCTATACGTAGAAAACAATTTTCAGCCCTATAATCACTGAAGCCATTGTCAAGTTTTTCTTCCCCCTCCCCAAACTTTTCTTTGGAGCTCTTTGGTTTCTACAAGCTTGTGGTGTTGGTCATCATTAGCCCAGATGAAAACACCCATTTCACATGGGTTTAACCTCGTGTGGTTTTCCTCCTTTCCAGTTTTTATACTGAAAAAGCTAAAAGCTAAAACTCAACCCCACTTATTAAAGGAGGAGCTGAGCGCAGCCTCAGTTTCCCAGGGATTCTGTTTGAAGTAGACAACTGGATTACACCTTTATTTCTGCTTTTAAAAGGGGACTCCTGGAATAGGTTTTGAAGTCTTCTGTCCATTTTGTGTATTATATTCTAAAGCCTAAGTGGGTTTCAGAAGATCTTCTTGCTTCCCTGCTTGTTCAGAGGGTCAGCATTTGCTGGAGTATCCAACCTCCGAGAGCAAAGAAAGGGTTGTAATCCATCCATTTGCTCCAGAACAGCCATTGCAGGTCTTAACAAAAGCAAATGATCTGGAGTTTGGAACTATTTCACTAGAAGCCTCTGTTAAACTTCCACTCACTTCGCTCTTGCATTGTCATTTTGGGAATTCTGCAACGGTGTTTGGCTATCAAATAGATGCATTTCTCATGCAGGTGTTAACAGGTAACTCCTTGGAGCGCATTTTCTTCAAGCACCCCCCCCCCCCCCCCTTTTTTTTTTTCTTGATGAGAGAAAA